GAGGGCTGGTGGGATTCTCTACCCTGCCCTTGCTGTCCCCCCCCTTTCGTCGGGCTCGGCCCTCGCTCGCCGCCCACCCACGCCGCCGGACCACGCGACTTGCGCAGCGCGCCCGGGGGGGGCTGGCCCCGCCCTCGGCGGAGGGCCTCCTCGGGGGGGAGGCGGCGGACGGCCGCCCGCGGAGTCCGGCGGAAGAGCGGCGGAGGGTCAATCGTAAGTCGGACCTGACCTTCTTCAGGAGGAAAATTCAAAAATAGTTAAAACATTTTGTTGGACTATTTTGGCCCGGTTGGGGGGTATTTTAAAAAGAAATATTGTTTTATTTCCGCCCGAAATCCCCCTGTAGGGGGACACGCCCGGCTTAAGGTCAATAGAATCCTGCTCCAAACCCCCAGGTGGGGTCCGAGCAGATGGGGTCGGAGGATCGCGCCGCATCGCCGATGCATCGCCGATGCGGCTCGATACGGAACCTGATTTTCTCCACGCCGACGTCGCCGATGCATCGCCGACGTCGACAATGCATGGCCGGTGCATGACCGGCGATGCATCGGCGGTGTGGCGCGACCCTCCGACCCCATCTACTCGGACCCCATTTAGGAGGCCTCTAGTCACCCAGAGCGCAGGATCTTGTTGGATCCCGCGCAGCCAGGGGCGCACTGACCTGGGCTTGGGTGCAGGAGTCTGCAGGATCCTGCGAGGCCAGACTGGCCGGGGCCTGGATTGACCTTGGCCAGTAGCTCCCCGAGAGCGGCGGAAGTCAAAGGGCGCGGACCAACAAAAAGGAGAGTGAGATGTCACCTCGCCGCCGCCGCCGCCGTCGCCGCCGCCGTCGCCGTCGCCGTCGCCGTCGCCGTCGCCGTCGCCGTCGCCGTCGCCGTCGCCGTCGCCGTCGCCGTCGCCGTCGCCGTCGTCGTCGTCGTCGTCGTCGTCGTCGTCGTCGTCGTCGTCGTCGTCGTCGTCGTCGTCGTCGTCGTCGTCCCCCTTCAGGGTCGGCGGCACCAGCCGAGAGGCCTTCGCAATCTGGGTCCTGCGTCCAAGATGCCACAAAGCAGTCTCCCAGAGCGTCAGAGGAGGAAAAGGGGCCGATACCGCTACCCTTGCTTCGTTTTCTCTTTTTTAGGCCTCCTGGGAAGCCCTCGTCACCACCGCTGGATTCGCATTGAAGTTCGGGTCAGAACGCACCCAAGGAGCGGTCCGTGGAGTAGCGGTATCGGTACCTTTTGGTTTCCCCATCGCCATGTTTGGATCCAGGGGTTCCGGAGTCTCGAAGCAGAGAAAACGCGGACAACCACCAACAGTCGGCGGTCCGCGCGGATTTCTCGGATCGGCGCTGGACCTCCCTCCCCGGCGCGCGGAGCGCGGCGGGGGCGGCGTCGGAGGCGCCGCCTGGGGCTCCCAGCCCCGATCAAAGAGATCCGCGCGGACCGCCGAAAGTTGATGCTTATGGTTCTTTTTGTTTCTTCAGAGTCGGCCACTTGGAAGTGTGGGCTGCTCTTCTGGGGTGAGGTGGTGGTGCCGCTGGTGTCTCTCCGATGGCGGTCTGAGCTGAGGCTGCTCGCGCAGAGTCGGGGCCAATATTGCCGGATCTTGTCCAGGGATTGTCCTCTAGAGTGCAGCCGCATCCCTATGATTGGCATCGCCTTGTCTCGATGCCGATCTTCAGGATTCCCTCGGTTTCTGAGGGCGCATCCCTGTGATTGACATCGCCTGTGGGCTTCTCAATTCCTGGGATAGGGATAAGCTCGAGGCTGGTTAACTTTTGGATGGTCATTGCGTCGTCGAGCTCGGTCGCGGCTCTCCGTATTGGGGTCCTCGGCTCTGGAGCCTCGGGCCGGTATATTGACGCTGGCACTGAGTCCTGGGCGTTCTGGGTCCCGGCCAAGGCCCTCGTGCCTGGGTGCAGGCTTGGCCATGGGCGACCCCTGAGATCCGACGCTGCAGTTTTTTTCTCAATCGGGCGATTTCGCCGATTTCTGGGCTCCGGGACCTCCACAGCTCGGTCCGTCTCGGAACATGCAGCAGAGACAAAGGCGGGGTCCAGGACTCTCGTCGTGAGTCTTCGGCATGTGTGGGGAGTGTTGGCCCAGGGCCCGTCGACAGGGCCCCCCCGAGGGGTCCCTGGGCTCCTGCCCGGAGTGCGACCTGCGCCAGCCCGTCCCGCGCCCAGTCCGCCCGTCACCCCTGGAAGTCCGCAGCTGCCCCCCGCAGAATCACAGGTTCGACTGCGCCGACAGTCGCACGTATGTTTCCCGCGTGAAGTCGCGCGTAATTAAGCGCCCTCGTTTCCCATGTAGCGTTCCGTGCTGTCGGCCCGCGTGAGCCACCGCGTAAGGTCGCCGTGCCATCTCGCGCTGGGCCTGTTTCTTATCGCCGCTCAGGTGGCTTTGGCGGCGACGGGAAAGGCTGGGGCGGCGACGCCAAGGGCGACGCCAAGGGGTGCTGGGGCGGCGACGCCAAGGGGTGCTGGGGCGGCGACGCCAAGGGCGGCTGGGGCGGTGACGCCAAGGGCGGCTGGGGCGGCGACGCCAAGGGCGGCTGGGGCGGTGACGCCAAGGGCGGCTGGGGCGGTGATGCCAAGGAGCGGCGCATGTACCGTCGTTGGCCAGAGAGCCTACATTCAACGCACAAGATGCACCGCTTGCCATGCCGCTTTGTGTTGCCTTCCCCTACCCCTGCTTCTTCTGTTCGTAGAGCATCCGCGGTCCTTCAGTGTCTGCTCAGGGGAAGGCTTGCGCTCGGTTGCAGACCAGCGAAGGACGGCAGGGTCATGACCAGACACACGTTCTTGTAGCCAGGTGTACTGGCGGGTATCGGAGGAAGTAGGTGTACCGGTAGGAGGTGTACTGGAGGTGTGCTGCAGCGGGGTACCCTGTCACAGTAGGCACATCACGTGGGAGAGCGGCTTGCCAGCAGGTGCCTCGCAGAAGTGGCTTGTCCCCTCATGGCCCCAGGCACCAGCAAAAGGCCCTGGGGCACCCCAGGGCCATCAAAGATCGAAGAAGAAGTGCCCCAGTCTTTCTTCCAGCAAGATCTCTTATCCTATGTGCCTAACTACTGTACGGTAGGTTCGTGCTGTGCCGACTTCTCGACGACGCCAGACGACCCCAGCGCAGGTTTTCAAGGTGGAACGCCGCCAGTGGCCCAGAATCGGCCACCACGGAACGGTCTGGCGATCAATGAGCCGCAGCTCCTTCGAGGTCGCACGATCCGCGCGCTGCCCGGAACCCACGCCGGGGCTGTCACGACGCGAACCTGCCGTACGCTCCTCCGCCTCCTCCCCGTGCCCTCGGGTGTTGCTACATGTGTCCCTGGCCCAAGGTGCCCCCAGCTTCTCGCTCCATCTTGGAGCTCCTGGGACCCCCTGGGCCTCGCGAGTGGTGCGCTGGAGGCCGTGGGGGCCTCCCTGGAACTCCTAGGGGCCCTTTGGACCAGGGGCACCTCTGGCAAAACCCGATGCCCGTCTCGGCCCAAGAAGGGTGCCGTTCGCGGGCGCCGCCGCTGCCGCCGCCGCGCGCTCCCGCGGGCCGCCGAGACGCCGCCCGCGCTCGCAGCTCGCGGGGCCCCCGCCCGCCCACCGCCCGGTGGCTCGGCCTGGCTCGCCGCGCCGCGCCGTGCAGCGATGCAGCACGCGGCGGCGCCGCGCTGGGCGCCGCCTCGACGAGGCGGGTGCCTGGCGGTCGTCGGCGTGCTGCTCGCGGCGCTGCCGTGGCCGGGCCGGCCCTTGGCGCTTGTCGCCGGGGCCCCGGGCGCCAGGACACTCACCGAGCGCGCTCCAGGACTCGCAAAGTGCCTGCGCTCGCAAGCGTCCGAAGAGCACGGGTTCGCGTCGATGTGGTGGGTCGTGAATCCCCCGCGGCGGATCCAGGCCACTTGCGAGCACTTCTTTTGCGAGTGGTGGAGCGCGCTTGTCTGGACACGTCGGCTGTTTCCCCCTCCCTCCAGATCTCGCCCTCCCCGAAGGTCTCGAGGTTTTCGGGCGGTTTCGTCGGTTCTCAGAGGGTGTTCCAGCCTCGGGATGCTCGTCAGGGGCTGCGCCTCGTCAAGAGCATTTCGGAGGAGGGGAGGAGGGGGAGGAGGAGGAGGAGGAGGAGGAGGAGGAGGAGGAGGGATGTCCACATCGGCCGCTATAGACCCGAGTTGTGACTCGAAAGCTGGAGCTCCGACGATCCGAGTTCTGTTCCATCCCGGCGTTCTTCCTCGACTTCGGCCTCTGGGGCGCATCGTCGTGCCATCAGTCGGGGGCGGAAAAGAGGGGGGTGATGACTAGGGGGGGGTGGATATCATGGCGGGGGCCATGATATCTCCCCAGATCTCAGGACGCCTCTTCTTGATTCATTACGTCCCCGGCCCCCCCGCTGGGCCGCGCACAGGCCGCCGGTCATGATTTGCACCCCCCCTCTTGGACATCCCCCTCTTGGCCGCTCCCGAATCAGCCATCAGAAGTGGATCCGGGGCGACAGGGGCTCCCCCCAGGGAGTGGGGTTCGGAGCTTTGGGGCGGCGCATTGTCAACATCATACCGGAGGATATCTGGGACGGGCCAATTTTCCACCACAACCACCGTGTAGGAGAGGCAGGAGGAGGAGGAGGAGGAGGAGGAGGAGGAGGAGGAGGAGGAGGAGGGGGAGGAGGAGGAGGGGGAGGAGGAGGAGGAGGAAGAGGAGGAGGAGGAGGAGGACCTCATCCTCCTCCTATCAATCTGGGGTTGGAAAAGTCGATTTGTGAATTGCTGTTTTTTTCCCTCCAGTTTTCGAGATGCCGTTGCGGCCGCAGGTTCTGCGGGCCTGCGCCCGCCCGATCTGGCCCCGGGTCTATTCTGCTGGAAGTACACGGGGGTTTTGCTGCATGGGGGTTTTGCCCACCCACGAGCACTGCAAGCCAGGGCTCTGGCTGATGTGGCGGGAGAAAACTAAGGTTGGATTCATGAGCCTGTTTTCCACCACCACCATTTTGGACGAAGGAAGGAGGTGGATGATGAGGAGGAGGAAACAGACGAAGAGGAGGAGGAGGACCCCCTCCGCCTCCTACTTCTGTTGGTGTTTATGGAAAACATGCCCAGCATGGATAGTGCTTCGACCCACAGCTGCAGCTTCCTGCGGTGCGCCAGCGTCCTGGTTTACAATTCGCACGTCCGAAAAGACACTGGCCTGCCTGCGGGTGCCCGACGAAAGTTTCTTATCCCCCGGGGTCACTGGGGGCCCACAGAAGCTCTGGCGCACCTCAGGACCCTCCAAGGTCGGCGAAGAGGCCCCCCAGCATTCACCACCAGCAAGATCTCTTCTCGTATGTGCCTCCTGTTCCGGTGCCCCCGTTTCTGGGGCCCTGAGGTCGGCAGGCCGCTGCCGACAGTGGCCCCGAGGGGCCTCTCGCGCAGCGTCGCACGAGCCGCGCAGGGCAGGGCCCCCATGCGGTGCCCGGGCTGGCCGAATTGCGGCTGCGACGGCCAGGGCCATTTGGTGGGCCCCCTCGGCAAGTTCATGGAGAACTCGCCGATCAAGGTTGGAGCCGTCTGGGGGACGGAGGAGGCCCAGCATTCGTTCCGGCCAGCGAGGAGGCGGGCAGGTTCGAGGTTCTGGTTTCGGGAAGATCCAGGACCGTCGAAAACGGATCCAGGGTGAAACACCGCGCCAAATGGACTCCGAGAGGGTCGGGGGACTGATTTTGAGCGGTTTGGGCTTCTCCCCCCTCTCGTGACCGATTTTCTCTGGCTCCAAGCAGTTCAGACCCCCTGGCCGTCTCCAAGATCAAGGCGTACAGGAGGTGCCCGAAGTGGGTCGGCCCGTACGTGAAGAAGGGGATAGAGTCCGACGACCTCTTCAAAATCTCCGACGCGGCGAAGGACAGCTTTCTGCTGGAGGTGCCCGCCACCTGGCGGTCCTCGAAGAAGAAGACATGTTTTCATATTTTCATATGAGTTCGATCTAGAAGAAGAGGAATAAGAGGCATACTAATAGCAAACATCATAATAATCATTTGAGGAGTAATAATACTAATAACAAGAAACAGAAGAGGAGAACACAAGGAACGCCACGCACGCACACTTTCGGTGGTCCACGCGGATGTTTTGGGCCAGCTCTGGACTCCTCCACTCTGGCGCGGAGGCGCTACCAGGGGCGCCCAGCGCCGACGCAAGAAGTAGAAGTCCTCGCGGTTATGGCTTATGTTGCACTGATGCGACTGTGCGGAAACGCACAACACATATCACCCTCAAAACGTCTGGGCTGAACACGCTGCGTGCTGTCTCGGCAGTGCTGGCCCACGTCTTGGCGAACGTATCGCGCTAGACCTACGTTGCCAATCTACGGGTTGAGCCCGTGCCGACACGCCACGGGTTGCGTGTTATGTTTATGCCGCTTCTGCTCCCCCAGTCGGCGGCGAGCCCAGGGGGGAAGTCAGAGGGGCTGGCCTTTTCAGCAGGCTCGGAAGGCGCCTCCGGCCTTCTGAGCAGTTTTCTAAGCCTTCTCCAAAGAGAGGGACGGCTTCTCAGAGGGCGCGAGGGCTTCTCTGAAGCCCCGCCGCCATCCGCCGCCATCCAGAAGGCCTGCCCCCTCTCACTCTTCCTCCCTGGCGCGCCGCTCGGTCACGGGCTGCTTCATGCGGATCGGGGCAGCTCAGATCATATTTGCGCCGCTCCTGCTCCCCCCAGGTCTCTCACCAAGATCAGGCTCCGGGAGTACGCGGACGTCCGGGCGACGGCAACGGGCGAGATGCTGCGGCCGTTCGAGAAGTTCGAGGTCGAGGACGTCATCCGGCGGGACGGGCAGCACTTCCTGAAGCTGTCTGGGAGGACCTCGCTCGGGTCGGCGGCACGGCCCCGCCCGCGAGGGCCAGGCGCTCCGCGCGGATTTCTCAGATCGGCGCTGGTCGGACGGGGCCAGGACGAGGATTATGATGGACCGGTTTCCCACCACCACTACCATGAGGAGGAGGAGGAGGAGGAGGAGGAGGAGGAGGAGGAGGGGGAGGAGGAGGAGGAGGAGGAGGAGGAGGAGGAGGACCTCCCCATCCTCCCTTTCCCCCCCCCGTCCTACCTGTGGTAGTGGTGGTGAAGGATTGGCCCATCAGATTTAATTCGTTCCAGAGCGTTCCGGAACGCTCGCGAAGTATTCCTGGACGCTCTGAGCAGGCCGCGACGCCCGATACATTCTCCAAAGCCGCTGGATCCCAGGTATTCTCGATGTATGTTCACCTGAATTTGTCCTGGTTTTGTTTCGTCTTAGTTGGAGCCCCATGGCGGCGCCTCCAGCGCCGCCCCTGGTACGCTCCGCGCGCCAGGAAACGGGGGTCGAAGGCCCGCGGACGGCGACGGAAGTAATGACGTCACCATGTTTGGATCCATGGGTTCAGGGGCTCGGAGAAGTGCGGGCAAGACTTGCAATCATGTCCATCATGTCCACTGCGTCTTGAATTTCCTGGGAAGGGGCGCCAAAAGGCCGAGGCGCAGTGGATATGGATACAAATCTGGCCTCTGGGGCCCAGATGTTTATCCATTTCCACTGCTCCCCTTGCTTCAGTACAACTGTCGGCGGTCCAGGCGCAAGGAAAGACGGCATCAGAACAACTGTCGGCGGTCCGGGCGGATTTCTTGGATCGGCGTTTGAACCCCCCTCGCCGACGCGCGGAGCGCGGCAGGGGCGGCGTCGGAGGCGCCTCCAGGGCAGTGCTGGAGCTCAACGGTGCTTTGGCGATTTCGCGGACGGTTTTCGTTTTGACTCCGTGTTGCACCAAAGGAAGGGCGAAGACAGAACGAGGGAAAACGAAACCAACACGACAATGGAAAACACTGCTTAGCTCGAGCCTTGCGCCAGGGGGCTCCAGAGCCGATCCGAGAAATCCGCGCGGGCCCCCCAGGGTTTTTGTCTCTGCCAGCATGTGTTCGACTCGAGGCGAGGCCCCGCCTGGGCCTGCGAGGGCCAGACACAATGGTTGGGTGCTCGTCTCGCGGACCTGCCCCTGCGCCCACCGGAGGGATCTGTTCGATTCCACTTCGTCTCAAGTTCGGCTCCGGTCCGGCTCCACGCGACGGACGTTCGATGCGGCACCGACGCAGGAGCGGGGCGAGTGGCTCCGGGAGGGCCCCCGGAGCGAGCAGCCGGCAACCTCCGGGCATGCAGCCGAGGCGCGGAAGCAGGGGCTCCCTCTGCTCCAGATGGGGCTCCCGTTTGGGGGGCCGTTCCGGAGATCTGGGTCGGGGAGCCTCTCCGTGGCCGAGGCTCGCCGCGGCCGGAGGAGCGCCTCGGCTCCTCGGTTCAGCGTTCCTGCCTGTAGCGCGATGCCGGCCAGGGAGCACAGCCGCAGGTTCGTGTCGTGTCGACTCGGCGGCCGCCCCGGCGCGGGCGTTCCAGGTCGAGCGCCCCCATTTGGCTCGGAGTCGGCAGGTTTTGGGCCACCCGAGCTCTCGGAACGCCGCTGCCGAGCAGTGCTGCGCGATCTACCCGGCGTCGGAAACCAGCGCGCGTATGTCTTCACGGCACGAGCCTGCCGTGCCTTCACAGAGTGCAGGCAGATCCAGGCAGCATCAGCCGGCGGTGCGCAGGTGGGGGCGGACCGGGCGTGTGGCCTTCCGAGAACTCGAGCAGGGGACCCTTTGCAGAATTCATTAGCCCCGACATGGTTTTGCTAAGGTCGAGTCTGCTGCAAATATGTCGAATCTTCGCAGATCAACAAACAGTTTCGGAGCATTTTCGTGGGTTCGACAAGCATGCCAACTCTGGGATACATAAATTCTGTAGTCGGTCCCCTTCTCGAAGCATGCAGGGGGGGGGCGCCAAGATGGGCTCGGAGCGGTTGGGAGGGGTCGGCTCTCCGCGCGGTCTCTCTGAGTCGACGCCGAGCCTCCCGGTGGGCCGCCCCTGCCCCCCCTCGCCCTCCTTTCCGAGGGTCGCCGTCGTCCCCGTACGGTCGGACCGAGGTCTGAGATCGCGGTCGGTTTGGGGGGAGGGTACCCTGCTGTTCTTCGTGTTTGTTGAAGTTTCTTGTGCGTCCTGGGGGAGGGCACTCTCGAATTTTCTTCCGTCTGGCCCGAGGAGGGTATCCTGTTCTTGAAGGATTATGTCCTAGGTCCGGCCGTAGTCCGCCTCCCCGGCTGGTGCTCGCCATGGATCAGGATGAAAAGCACAGACACAACTGAACGTCGATCTCCAGGGAAGTACAGAAAATATGGGGAGTGGAGAAGACGGCGAGAATCAAGGAAATACGCGAATATAGGGGATCCAGGGATTTGTGTCTATTGCGAAGGCCTTTCGGCCAGTGCCGCTGACCCTGAAGACGACGAATACGAAAACGAGCGGAGGTAGGTAGGAGGCGGAGGGTGAGGAGGAATGGGAGGGAAAGAGGAAGGGTGGAGGAGGCGGATGCGGAGGAGGAGGGGGGGAAGGATGAGGAGGAGAAGCAGGAGGAGGAGGAGGAGGAGGAGGAGGAGGAGGAGGAGGAGGCAGATGAGGATCAGGAGGAGGGGGAGCTGGAGGGGGAGGGCGAGGAGAAGGAGGATGATGAGGAGGAGGCGAATGCGGAGGATGAGGAGTAGGAGGAGGAGGAGGAGGAGGAGAAGAAGAGGAGGAAGAAGAGGGAGGAGGAGGAGGAGGAGGAGGAGGAGGGGGAGGAGGGGAGAGAAGGAGGAGGAGGAGGAGGAGGTCTCCCAGAGCGCCTCTGGCGCTCTGGGAGACCGCTACATGACATTGTGGATGCAGGGCCCAGATTGCAAAGACCTTACGGCTGGTGCCGCCGACCCTGAAGGGGGACGACAACGACGACGACGACGACGAAAGGCGAGGACGCGAAAACACAGAGCAGCATAATGAGCATCCATCGTTTTCGACTCTTGTGGCTCTCTTGGGAGCCCTCTTGGGGGTCCTCTTGGAGTCTTGTTGGGGTGTCATGTGAACGCAGGGCCTGGATTTGCCACAACTGGCCTGCCAGCCCGACGCCACTGGCCCCTGCCGCGGGGAGAGCCGCGGGGGCGTCAGCGGAGGGACCCTTCGACGGTCTGGTACAAGGAGGAGAGAGGAGTGAGGAGGAGGAGGAGGAGGAGGAGGAGGAGGAGGAGGAGGAGGAGGAGGAGGAGGAGGGAGGAGGAGGAGGGAGGAGGACCAGAAGGATGAGAGGGAGGAGGAAGAGGAGGAGGAGGAGGAGGAGGAGGAGGAGGAGGAGGAGGAGGAGGAGGAGGAGGAGAAGGAGGCTCGGCAGGACCGGCTGGGCGTTCGACCGGGGCATCGCCGGCGCGTGGCTCGGGAGGCCTATCTGCGAGCGCCTGGACACGCCGCTGTGAGCGGGCCGCTCGCCGTGGGCGCGCCTTTCCCCTCCGACCTCCTGCGCGTTTCCCCCCCCCCCCCCCCCCCCCCCCCACGCGATGGCTTCTTTTTGTGCGCGCCCTGAGGCTGTATAGGGTGGCGGAGTGCAGCGCTGTCTCCCCCCTCCCCGAGTTGAAGGGGGGGGCGTCCTGGGGGGCGCGGTGCGTGCTCCTCTGCCGGCTTGGCGTAAGGCTTGCGCGCCATATCTGACGGCGTATGCCTGTACGCTCTGTTCGGGAGGAGAAGGATCGCCCCATCCTTGAGCTCACCCGTGTACCCCATCCGATTCCATTCCTTGATATAGCCTGCGGTGTGCGATTTGACGCGACCATTTTGCTTTTGACTTATTCCCCCCCCGTCCCCCCAGACTCTGTGAGGCGTGTCAGATAGGGCCGCGCCTTCGAGGATCGAAGGTCTTGCCATCTCTTCCTCGGTGGAGGGCGGCGGACGGGCGGCGGGCGGTGGCGGGGGTCAAACGAGGTGGCTTCGCCTGCGGAAGCTGGCGGAAGTTGGCGGACGCCCACAAGAGGACAAGATGTATCTGGTTTGAGGTTTTCAGAGCCATCGGCTTGCTAGCTTCAGGATGCTTTTCAGCGGGTGCGCATCGTCGAGAGCGTGTCGGGGGTGCCCAGGCCTTCCAGATCGGCCGTCGGAGGCCCGAGCCATGACCCGAAGACCAGATCTCCGACGACTTGATTTTTGTCACCTGGTGCTGTTTTTATCGATTCTGGCCCCTATCGGCACCTTGGGCCATCAAGAACAGGTGTGCGGCGAAAAAGAACCACCGAGGAAGCGGTTGGGAGCTTCGGGGGCCGCGGATTCTTCTCGTCTTCGCTTGCTCCTCGCCTGCGCTTCTTCTCCTCGTCGTGCCCCTCCTCGCTGTGCCCCTGCTCGTCCTCCTCTCCTCTCCCGTCCCCCCTTCCCTCCTCCTTCATCTCCCTCCTCCTCGTCCTGCCGTCCCTCCTCCCGCCCGCCTCCGTCATCCCCTTTCCCCTTTCCCTCGTCTTCCCCCTCCTCCCCCCTTCTTTCCCCACAGCTACACACTTGCTGAACACTGCCCTCCTCTCTCCCCAGGTATTGCGTTGTACGCAGGCCCCTCCCGCCTTCTGCCCATGCTACTGCATACCGGGTTCCACCAGCTAAGGACTGTTTCGATGCTGTTGATATTCTGCCTACTCGATTTTCATTGTGACCGTTCTCGGTCCAAGAGGTTCTCCCGCTACAGCGTTGCGCTGGCCCTATTTCAGGACCAGCGTTTCGCGCTTTGCTCCCGCCGTCCAGATGTCCGCTCTCGCACCAGGGAGGGCCGCACTCTTCCAGATGCCGATTCATTCCTCGTCGTTGCCGTCCACCTCCTTTTCCCTTCTCCGCCTTCCTGTGGCCCTCCTGCTCTCTCACGCCTTCTGTTCCTGCTGCTTCTCCTGTTCCTTCTTGATCGTTTTGCTCGTCCGCCACCTCCTCCTCCTCCTCCGCCCCTCCTCCTCCTCCTCCTCCTCCTCTTCCTCCTCCTCCTCCTCCTCCTCCTCCTCTTCCTCCTCCTCCTCCTCCTCTTCCAGTGTAACCCCCCCTGCCGATGGCGCGTCATAGGGCCGGGTCGTTTTGAGTGGGGGACCACGATTATATAGGTCATCTTGATCGGCGGAAAGAACGGAATTCGGCGCAGTCGGACGGGATGAGCGGGAGGGTGTGATGTCCGATATGGTGCATGTGCGCCTGGCTTGTCCCTGGTCCTCTTTTCTCTTCTCTTGTTCCTGCTCTTCTCCAGCGAACGCACCTAGCGCTCCTCTCCTCTATCCTCTTCCCTTCATTTTCTTGCGAGCGCGCCTATCGTTATTCTTCTCCCTCCCCTTTCTCCTCCTCCTACCCCTCCTCCTCCTCCTCCTCCTCCTCCTCCTCCTCCTCCTCCTCCTCCTCCTCCTCCTCCTCCTCCTCCTCCCTCCCCTCCCCCCCCATCTCCTCCTCGACCACCTTCTCCCATCCCGCCCTCCTCCGTCCACACCCTCCCCTTTTCCTTTTCCTCCTCCTCCTTCTCCTCCTCCTCCTCCCCCCTCCCTGCCCCTCCCCCCCCTCCCCTCCTCCAGCAACGCACAGACTGTGCTGTGCAGGGACGCCCCCCCCCCCCCCCCCCCCGGCGCTGTGCTGTGCAGGGACGCCCCCCCCCCTTCCCCTCCCCAGTTTTCCGCACCCTGTCTTCGCGCGCACCGTGCCCATTGCCTCCCCTTTCCCCCACTTCGGACGGGGCTAGAAAGAGGATCCGCTCCAGAGCCTTCCAGTATGCTCTCAGAGTGTTCTGGGACGCTCTGAGAAGGCCGCGGCGCCCGAGACATCATCCAGAGCCGCCAGATCTAAGAGATTCTCGATTCATCTTCACCCGATTTGATCCTCGTCCTGGCTTCGCATAACTCTTCACCCCGCCCTTCCCCCCTCCCTCGAGGACTTTTTTCTCTCGCCGCGCGAACGCGCGCCGGCGAACTCTCGTCAGACCGCACCGCGGAGCGAACGCGAGCGCGTCCGCCGCCAGGGGCGGGTCTTGCCATCCCCGCTCTCGCCAGGGGGATCGGAGAAAGGGAGGGAGGGAGGAGGCGAGGAGGAAGAGGATGAGGAAGGAGGAAGAGGAAGAGGAGCAAGATGAGGAGGAGGAGGAGGAGGAGGAGCAGGAGGAGGACGAGGAGGAGAAGGAGAAGGGAGGAGCAGGACAAGGAGGAGGAGAGGGAAGAGAAGGGGGATCGACGGAGGAGTAGGAGGAGCAGAAGGAGGAGGAGGAGGCGGAGGAGGAGGAGGAGGAGGACCAGTGTAAACCCAAGAGTCACCAAAGATGTTGGGATAAACCCTCCCTCCAAGCTCCCTCCCCACATTCCCCTACAATGGTTCATTTCCACTGGGATAGCTACCTCGTTGGAAGACAACCGTTTGAAGACCCTGAAGCATGCCAAAGCATTGTTCTCGGGATTTCAACGCCACGGATCAACCTGACTGCTGCGTGTTGACGATCCTGATTCGTGCCAGAACACCATTCCTGGGACTTCAACACAGCGAATCAACGTAACTGCTGCGCCCGCGTGATCCTGAATCTTTTCAACACATTTCTGGGACGCTGATGATGGGACTCCGTGCAACGTTTGCAAAGTTTGTGAACGACTGTGCGCGGCGATAAGGCGAGAGCCACATTTTGATAACGAGTCGCCCTCAACCCGTGAAACCCTTGCAAATATTGTAAACGAATGTGCGCCGCGCTAAGGCGAGAGCCACATTTTGAACACGACCCGCCCCCAATCCGTGACAGTCATGCAACCGTTTCGAACGAATATACGCCTCGCTAAGGCGAGAGCCACATTTTGAAAACCACCCGCTTTCAAGCCGCGATGCTCTTGCAAATGTTTAATACGAATGTGCGCCGCGCTAAGGCGAGAGCCACATGTTGAAAACCACCCGCCCTCAATCCGTGAAACTCTGGTAATTGTTTGTAAACAAAAGTGCGCGGCGCTAAGGCTAGCGCCACATGCTGACAACGACCCGCCCTCCATCTGTGAAACTGTTGCCAATGTTCAAGCTTCAGGGCCCTGAATGGTGAGGAAGTCTCAGGCGAAGTTCTGTGAGGAGGAGGAGGAGGTGGAGGAGGAGGAGGAGGATGGGAAGGTGGAGGAGGAGAAGGAGGAGGAGGAGGAGAAGGAGGAGAAGGAGGTGAAGGAGGAGGAGAGAGGAGGGGGGGAGGAGCAAGAGGAGGAGGACGAGGAGGTGGAGGAGGAGGAGCAGGAGGAGGAGCAGGAGGAGGAGGAGGAGGAGGAGAAGGAGAAGGAGAAGGGAGCAGGACAAGGAGGAGGAGAGGGAAGAGGAGGGGGATCGACGGAGGAGCAGGAGGAGCAGACGGAGGGGGAGGAGGAGGAGGAGGACCAGTGTAAACCCAAGGGTCATCAACGATGTTGGGATAAACCCTCCCTCCAAGCTCCCTCCCCACGTTCCCCTACAATGGTTCATTTCCACTGGGGTATCTACCTCGTTGGAAGACAACCGTTTGAAGACCCTGAAGCATGCCAAAGCAGTGTTCTCGGGATTTCAACGCCACGGATCAACCTGACTGCTGCGTGTTGACGATCCTGAATCGTGCCAGAACACCATTCCTGGGACTTCAACACAGCGAATCAACGCATCTGTTGCGCCCGCGTAATCCTGAATCTTTTCAACACATTTCTGGGACGCTGATGATGGGAGTCCGTGCATCGTTTGCAAAGTTTGTGAACGACTGTGCGCGGCGATAAGGCGAGAGCCACATTTTGATAACGAGTCGCCCTCAACCCGTGAAACCCTTGCAAATATTGTAAACGAATGTGCGCCGCGCTAAGGCGAGAGCCACACTTTGAACACGACCCGCCCCCAATCCGTGACAGTCATGCAACCGTTTCGAACGAATATACGCCTCGCTAAGGCGAGAGCCACATTTTGAAAACCACCCGCCCTCAAGCCGCGACGCTCTTGCAACTGTTTAGTACGAATGTGCGCCGCGCTAAGGCGAGAGCCACATTTTGAAACTCACCCGCCCTCAATCCGTGAAGCTCTTACAGCTTTTAAGACGAATGTGCGCCTCGCTAAGGGTAGAAGTACACTTTGAAAACGACCCGCCCTCCATCTGTGAAACTGTTGCAGCTGTTTGCATAGAATGTGCGCCGCGCTAAGGCGAGAGCCACATTTTGAAATCCACCCGCCCTCAACCTGTGAAGCTGTTGTATGCTTCAGAGTCATACATGGCGAGGAAGTCTCAGGCGAAACGCCCGACCCGCTCTAAACACTGGCCTCGGGGTGCGACATTCATGAGGAACAGGAAGTGAGGAGGAGGAGGAGGAGGAGGAGGAGGAGGAGGA